GCTGTTCCCTTCCTAACATATGTTTCTCTATATAGTACATTAATTCAGAAAGTATTGCTTATATAGCTTTTATTTGCAAGGCCTAATTATGGGTTGATCATGTCTTCAGTAAGCTTACAGTCTATTGAGGATAATAAGATATATGTGCATAACTAAACACAAAGTTAAAAAAGTGGTAAGAAATCCAAGAAAGGTGCAGATCAAGTGTTAAGGATCTATATTTTACATCTCCTCCAGGGTTATATGTTTGGTCCAAGACTTTGAATCCTCCTCAGCTTCTAACACAGAGCCTTATACATAGAACATATTCTAATGATGCTAGATGTAGAAGGTGAGCTGTGAAAATGTTTTGTAAATTTATGCCTATATAATGAATTGATTACATTCTTATCCAAATCAAATTTAAAATCTTTAATCTGAAGTTGATATTTATAACTAAAATGTTTCATTAGATATGTGATATTTTAACTTTCATTGTACTCCATTTTTTAGTTCAAGGCTCATTTTACTAAATCTTATATGATATCCTACCATCCAGTCTACTCAGCCCTATAAGTTTCATGGGATGTGGCTGCAGTCCTTCCTGCTTTTAATGTATCAGCAACCACAACTCACAAGAACCAGCTCTGAGCAGTCTCAGGGTTCGTGGGGTCTTGCCTTCTTTATGTATAACTTACTTGAAAAAGGTATAAAATAAATGATTATGAGAGCTTTAGAGAAAGCAATTAACATTGCTCTAGTTTTAAAAATCAACTGTATTGTTCAATCAATCTGAAGGATCACTGCATTGAATCTTCATTTTAAAAAGTATATTTATTTCAAAGGATTTGTTTTTCTGCATTTTTCACTAGATGATCTTCCCTAAAAGACTCAGGACAGAGTAAAATAAAATGAATTATTTCCTTTTGTTCCTCTGAATTATCTAGGTAAAATGAAGGCATCTAAGATTTCATGAGTCTTTAATAATAGTAGGATATATTGATTATAATACCAGCTACTATAGTTAACATCTTACCACATCTATCCATTTCATTCAAGATAGAATTTTTCTTAGCTGGCTTAACCAAATCAGAAATTTCATGTCCCCCTTATGAAGAAACCTGACTGAATTTCAAAGCAAAGGTATACAACAGAGTAAAAAGGAAATACAAAGACAGCCTTTCTTCTGCCTGAGTTCTAGCACTTTGACTCTTACTTATGAATTTTTCTTGCCACTGAGTCATTGCATACAGAATTATGAAACTTTAATTTCTTTAGAGGCTTGTTATATTAGAAAAGTTGTTCCAAAGAAAGCAACAATCATGACATAAGCACATCTGGCTCTTGCAAATTATTCTTTATTAAGCTTTCATTTAATTACATGTGCTGAAAGGTCTGTTTTTGATTACTGTAATTTTTTTTATTTGTCCATCTGAATGATAGTAATGCTGGAAATTATATACAAACCACCTGTTTTTCTCCCCTACTAATATGGCAAAGTTTGAGCTATTTTTCTCTGTGGCTTATAGACTAGGAAGTTTTCTATTCATTATGATAGAAATTTGACTATCAAGGTAATAGAGTAATCTTGATTATAAGAGGAAAAGAAAATATTTGAATGAAATTTTCAAGCATTACATGGTGTTAAGATTAGGGTATCTGACTTCTGATTGATTATAGCAGAACAAACACATTTATTTATTGCTAGTTTTACCCAAATCCCAATATAGCAACAGTTAAGGATTAATAGGTGTAAACCTTCAAGTAGAAATAGAAAGCCCAAAAATTTGTTGGACTATTAGAAATGGATAAATAAGTTATAACTATCTTATAAAAAAGAGAAAGCTGATACCTAAGCTTTATAAACGACCTGACTCTTTGAAATGCTTAGGAATTAAAGACATCATGTATCATTGAAGGCAGAGGTAAGAGGTGGATTATAGACAAGATGACTGGTTGAAGTTGGTCCCTCCCTAACCTCATTCAACCTCATAGCTACTATCCCTTCCTCTCAAGAACCACCACCACCAAAAACTGGAATTTTGTTCTCTTGAGAAACTGTGCTTGGAAGGTTTATGTCTTGGGACATCAGGCATAACCAAGAATGAGTTATGATGTCATTTTGAAAACAGGGAGATGACATGGGTACACTAGACTGTGTGATCCTGCAGCTTCCTTCTTCTGCTTGGCTCATCTAATCATGACACACAAGACCATCTCCCAACCAAGGCAAGAATTTGAAGATAATCTCTCTAAGAAAATGGCCCAGTGTAAGAGAAATGACCTATAAATACTAACATTTGGGATTCCAAACAAAAATGCAACTTGGTGCATCATTAGTTTATACTGAAGCCTGTCAGTCAATAAGTCTACTCCCACACTTAGACTTCCCTCCCATTCAGTTTTTGATTATGACACCCATAAATGGAGTGTCATAAATGGAGTTCAACAGTCATTGAACTCCAGAGACTTTAGAAAAGCCTCTAATAGTAAAGAGCTTGAAAGAAAAAGAGATAATGCAGAGAACAGAAAAAACAAACACCAAACCTATCACTAATGTTATCCAACAGAATAGAGAACAGGATACTATAAAAAGAAGTAACCCAAGAACAAAAGAGTACACTTAGAACTTCAAGAGCAGAATTTTTAAAAAAATTCTTAGATGTTTTGGAAGATAAAGTAAAGAACTTCTGTTATACAGTGTAATAAAAGTTTGAAGAGGGATGGGTAGAAGGAAAAAATTAGAATAGAGGGTCAGTAGGAAATCCAACATTTATTTAATACAGGTTTAGGAAAAACAATAGAGGGAAGAAAGTCTTTCATAAAAATCCCAAGGAAGTTTTCTAGACTTGAAAGATACAAGCTTACAGATTAAAAGGGCTGACTGAATGTTCCAAACCATAACTATAAAATTCAATAGATAGAGGAACCTCATAGGGAAATTTCAAAACACTTGTTATAAGCAAAAATCCTGTTGCTTTCAGAGGAGAAAATAGATTCCATACAAAGGATCAGGAGTCAGAATGGCATCAAACTTCCTTAGTAATAAAAATAAAAAGACAACAGATCAATATCTTTGATACTAAGAGAATCTTTTCAACTTTAAATTCTATACCAGTCAACTACAATCAAGTGAGAGGAATATATAATGTTTTCCAGAAATATTAGTTTCTAAAAAATTAACCTCACATACATCTATCTCAGTAGTTTCTTGGGAGGATGTAATTCTGTCAAAAAGAGGTTTCACTACAGAGACTAGAAAAGATGATAAGGCAGGAAAAAGAAAATCGCCGTACAGTCGAGGGGACATGAATTCCACATACCATAGATCTGCAAGTAACGCTAAAGAACAAACTAATTCAATTGGAGCAAGAAGACAGGAAATCCTACCAACCAGGATGTCTCCAAGAGGGGATAAAAAGGATACATAGATTACTTTATATATTCAACATACTGGAATTGGGAATTTTGTTGAATCTCTTACAGATTTTAGGAAATGAGAAAGGAAATGAGGCAAATATTATTTATTTATTTATTGAGCAGTACTGGGGTTTCATTTCAGGGCCTTATGCTTGCTTAAGCAGGTGCTCTACCATTTTAGCGAAGTCCCAGCAAGGCAAATATTAAATCTAACAAAATAAAAAGTTGAGAAAGAGAAAATTAAATACATCTCATTGCATACCACAACTGTGAGTAGTAATCTAAAAGAGAATCTATAAAACAGTACACATTAATTTTAAAATTTGTGATATTTAAGTAGAAATTGGGAAGGGAACAAATGGGGCGAAATGTGGAGTTGCCAAAATAATAAGCAAGCTACTTTCATTTTCTATTACATGAAGTCACGGGAGAAGAATACCACAGTATAAAAGCACATACAACCTGACAAATACTAGACAAAACAGTTAAATAAGTTGAAAGAGATGGTCTCCACAGAGCAGGGAGTATGGTGGGGAGGACAGAGGAGGAAAATCCCAAGGCCATCTGCTTAAGAGGTTTTACATTATACAAGTTGAGCAATGCTGTTTTGTGTTATTTGTTTTATTTTGTTGTTTAACTAAAGTAATATTGAACTTATGAAACTATGTATAAGATTACTTTGATAAAATTATATAAGAAGAAATTGGCCAACCTGATTTCAATCTTAGACCCAAATTCAGTTAAATCAATGTATTTTGAGGTTAATCATTTTAAGATTTATAGTATCAGGTTGTCTGTTTTGTCATGTCTCAGGGAAGAGGAATCCTTTTAAGGTTGAGAAGATAGAATGAGTAAAAAAGATCATTGGTTTTGCCAAAGAGAGCTATAGGAAATAATTTCAGAAAAGACCAATGAAACAGCAATGAGATTTTTATGAGGATAAACCTGGAGACCCAAGCAAAGACAGGATTTGAGGAGCAAAACCAGGTGACCAGTTCTGGGGCATAAAGAAAGCACTTTGTTTCCTTTTTCAGGCTGAGATACAAGTGGGCAGCTCCTGTGCCAGGAGAAAGAAACCTAACTTTTTGTTCTTACAGCTACAAATCTGCCCATATTCTGTTGAGGGTTATGTTATCTGCTGCCTAGAAATAAGACCTCAAGACAAGAGTGACTCTCATTGGGCCTCTGAGGTCTTGAAGGAGTGTTCATACGCAGAAAGAATCAAGAGTCCTCAGAGAAACGCTTGATCCATGCCCAAATAAGAAAAAATATCATTCTTCCAGGAATCTGTAGTGAAGTTCAGGTTAGTTTCTTAGTTCAGAAATAATAAAATTATATGAGTGGACATACCATACATTTAAAGAAATTTTTATGGAGGTTAAGGAAGGAACAGGAATAGAACCATGACTTCCATTCCAAAGCTCCCTTTTTCTTTATTATTTGTTTTTTTCTTATTTTCCTTTTTAAGTATAGTGAAAGAGAAATTGCAAAAAGAAATTGTCAAAGAAATAGTTATCTAACAATATGGTAAGTTTTTTTTTTTTGAAACCTCATTTCAGCTGCATTTAAAGAGATCAATGTTTGTCTTCTCTGTTTTGCAGCAGCTCTATGCCGCTCAGCTGGCCAGCATGCAGGTGTCACCTGGAGCAAAGATGCCATCAACTCCACAGCCACCAAACACAGCAGGGGCGGTCTCACCTACTGGGATAAAAAATGAAAAGAGAGGGACCAGCCCTGTAACTCAAGTTAAGGTATTTGCCTTGCAGGATTGTGAAAACAGTTTGGAAAAATAGCAAACCAAGCTATGTTAGGAATAAACAGCAGGAAACAGAGCAACATAAAGGAACCCCAAAAATGTTCCTCTTTATGGTAAATTTCATGCTTGAGCATTGAGAAACAGGTGTTTCCCTTTTGATAACAATAGTGCTATATTGTGAGATCTTTACCTAACTGCAAACTCACTTCTCCAAAAAAAATTTCCCTTTTGGATTCTGGCTTTTATTTTTTAATGTTCATTGGCATAAACAGCCATGGTTTTATTGTCAGTCTTTGTCATAGACTTGCGACACTTCTCTCCACGATCCTGAAACAGGTGGAGAGCCAATTTATCGTACCAGAGAAGGAGGATCTTGAATTCTGAGATTTGAAAAAGGGGATAGGAGAGAA